AGTTGCCATCAATGCTACCGACTTGATGTGGACCGCACTGCTGAAACGGGTGGAGATAGGCAAGGTCGATGCTTAATCCATTATGAGGGTGAGGTTAGCCAGAGCAGTTGGAGCGTCTGGCTCTCTTCTTCGGCCTAGAGTCGGAGATTGCAGTGGCTAGTTGAGGTACGAGCGTGGACATATTCACCTTCGAGGGTGCCATCCTAATATTGCCCATATGCTCGATTGCCTTAATTAACCAATTGCGCTTCTACATGAGCGCACAAACACTGCTGAGAAGTGGAGTGACTAGACATGTTGGACGAAACCAGAATGCATCGAGTACTTTGTTGTGTTACCTCACTTCTTGGATGGACTTTCCTATAAAGTGGGTCTTTAAATCGACCGTTGTGTTTTCACTGGAATATCGCTCTTACAGCAGCGGATCCGTTAGTTTTCACTGGGCTTTTCGGACACCTTTCAGTTAGACTATTTACAGGGTCACTAGGGCTATTTTACGCCGTTTTGAAAACGAACTTTGAGATATCGCGCAGTTATCAGTAGGCGTTTTGTAATTTAAAGAATCTTCGTCTGAATCGAGAATTTGGGCTTCGACGCTGTCGTCAACAGGATGCGCATTCGGGACAATTTATTTGAATGACACTTGTACTCCTAATGCCTTTTCTACCTGTTGTAAGATCTTGCGTTTCAATGTTGTCATAAAAAACCGCATGTCATATATCGTAAAATGCTGAAAATACACCCACTCGGGTATCGAAACCTTAGATTGACGTAACCGACTGATATTTAAGACGGGACGATCTAATGCAGCTTGAACACGTTATTCCCACCTTAAGGACTTTAGAGCATTTCTCTAAAGAGTAGACGCAGTGTTGTTTCTTCCCTGGAACGTTGGCTGTACGTTTCTGTTGAGGTGAAGGTCATCGCAACTTCCAAGGTCAGCATCGAGACAAGGATCAGTGACAGTCAAGCTCGTTGTCACAGCCGATCGTTTATCCTGTTATCGTAGGCGGGTTTGTCAGGTTTTATTGATCAACACTGATCCGTATGGGGATAAGCTCGTTAACTTTGTATTGGGTGGATGCCAGCGAATGAGTATCAGCGATGGGCAAATATAATGGAAAGCCGCAAATTGAGTTGTGGTTTCCTTGGAAATGGTTTTGTAAGCGTAATTTAGTTGAGTCACCGGATAGCGAGAATCCTTTATCGAATGCAATTTCGTAGCTGCGAGAGTTATTAGATAAACCACAAGGTTGCACGCGTGAATCTGTGGCAACTCACGCTCTGGCATTTAGGAAGTACTAATACTAATATTTGTTTTATTCATGCAAGAGCATGGAGCTACTGTACAAAATGATCTGGTCCCTTGCGGGCACAGCTTCTAGCAGATGTCTAGAAATATACTTTGTTATTTTATTTTAAGAAGTACTAGACCAATTTGGGTTGCAGGAAGCACGATTCGTGGGAAAGTTTCGTAAAAATATACCCACAAAATACAGGCAGTTACGCCGATTCGTATGAGTGTATGATGAGGTAGGGAAAACCCTTGGCAAAGAAGAGCGCACTAGCCATGCGACCGTTTTCAAGTCGCAGTATCTATAGACAAGTGGGCTAAACGTAGAGGGTAGAGGGTACCGGTTGCACATTCTACTGCATTATGGATGCCACCACAGTGTCAGGTGAACATGCATGGGTTTTGCTATATCACACTGGAGTCAAACTAGAGCTGATGTCACGTCACCCGCGTCTCAGACAGTGTTCCTGTGACATTAACATGCTCATTTGATTTCATCATGTCTCACTCAGACGACATTAAAGTTAAATTTCGCGCTGAGGCGTGCGGGTGAGTTAGCATTGTTAGGCGACTCATACGGACGGCCCTTAACCTCCAGGCCTAAGCACGCGACCGCATTTGCAAATGGTCATACATCTGCACCGCGTTATACTTGTGTAGCCTCTACCGGACTCGACAGCTTGAATTGCGGTGTGGAAAACGCACGCAATGTACTCGCCAAGCTTGATGATACGAAGTATGCCGGTCTTAACGAGGCCCACCCGTTGATACTCAAGTCCTTACCAGCCACCATCTCCCATCCGTGACTGATCTGTACAATAGATCGCTGTCCGAAGTTGCATTGTCGAGTGACTAGGTAGTGAAGCCGATTCCGAAGGGTAATGACGTAAGCAGGTGGGGAAAACTACCGGCTAAATTAAATGCCATCCGTTTTGGTCAAGGTAATAGAGAAAATGGTGAAGAAAGGTCCGCTGCAGCTGTTGGAATCGAAAGACCTCATGACATAAGCAGTTTCATGAAAGGCCGCTCATGCATCTCCAATCTGCGGTTGACGGCACATTAATGGTTGTAGATGTTAAAGTAAGGAAAGTCAATTGGCGTGATCTACATTAATTTCAGTAAAGCGTTGAACAAAATGTACCATGTGGATGTGCGGCGTGCATCAGTGGATCAACGACCTACTTATTAGGCGAAAATGGAAGATGCAGGAGGATGATCATCTGATTGGTATCCTTCCACCAGTGGTGCATCCCAAGAGGCTCACTTTGCTTCTGATTTATATTAACGAAATCAGCTTCTTCAGTCGTCCTGTGCCTTGTTTGCGGAGAGTAAATGATGCTCCCGACGACTGCGACCTACTTCAGTATGAACTCGACTGCCTGTCCGTGTGGTTTGAAGATGTCAATCTGCCGGTCAAGCTAACCAAGTCGTTATTTATGATGGGCCAACCGCTCCATCACACACCTCAAGTGAAGGACCTACGCGTACTTTCAAGCTGTCATTTGAAGTCTGTAGACAAAAAACACACCACACCGAAACAAACTGCGGATGCTCTGGGTGCTCAAACGCAGTTTCTGCATCTGACCGGAAGATATTGCTACTCGCCTCTTCTCCTACATTATAAGAACAGTACTAGAGTATGGCTCACAGGCTTATTGTGCGAGCACCGGTAATGAGGTGCAAAAACTGGAACGTGTTCAGCATGTAGATACCAGGCTTATCTCCAGCTTAGAGGGCGTCGTATGAAGGACGTTGCGGGAGATTGGGGCTGTACAAACTGCGTTATGGATGGTTTCCAGTGCAGATCATAATGACGCACCGGATATTACTTCCGGGTGATCTCCCTATGCTGAGGTCGCTTCTGCACATACCTGCACCAAGCACCACTCGTGGGCAAGGATACAAGTTCGTAGTGATGGATATGAAGCGTAGAACCCAAGAAAATTGGTGTCGGAACCCAAGATACCCTAGGCACCAAATTTGCGGATTATAGATCTCGAGAGTGCATCGCAGTTGAATGGGACGTCGTACAACTGGGGTGTGTTGAAAAGGTGCGACAATAAATAACGCTATTCCGCGTGGGTGACCGACCCAATTTCAAAGTAGCAACACAGATATCCAGAAACTAACTCCATATTATCAGCATTTAATTGTTCTCTATAATATTGTCCATAACATAGAATGACCAGTAACTTCAAGCGCACGTATAGCGTGACGCCTGAGTGCAGCCCGAAGCAATCGGGCCACATACTATTCAAATGGTCAATGGGAACGATGGTCGTCTGCTTTCGTCGCGCATCACACATGGTATGACGATCACAAACACTCAGCTGCCTCGGGGTGCACCCAAGTATTGGCCACGCAAATCTGCTGGAGATGCGTGAAGTCCGCACGATTCACACACTGCAGAGTGACGGGTCCGGAACCGCTTGTATGTTGGTAAGCACAAAAATGTGTAAATATTTTCGCGAGCCCATGTACTGTTAATATGCCGTAGCCTTTACGTTATCTACTGTGGGTAGAGCAGTTTTGCAAGAATGTTGACAAATTAGGTGGTTAAATAGTCGCAAAAATATTTTGAATCTAAAGGCTCAGATATTGTGCACGAATCGCGATTTGTTGCTTTCGGACACGAAATTTTAGACCCATTTAAAACCAGTAAAACTTTTCCTTGCTGGCTGGATAAAAATACCGAGCTTCTACTCAGAAATGTGGGGCCATTTACTCGAGTTACAATAGCGCACCTCTTTCACCTATCCATTTGGAAAACTGCACATTTTAGTTCATCTGCAGCTGATAATGTAGAATGCCCGAAGTGCAATTCATGCGAGTACATAAAGCGCACGTATGAACAACATGCTTGTTGAAGGAGGGCGCGCAGGCTCCGAAACAATCGTGCCTTCCGTGCACATACGTACCGGTCTTATTCCTTCGGATTCACACTGGACATGTAGTGTGTTGGTGCTGCGGCGCCGGCCACCCATGGTTCCTGTGTGAGCGCAGACGTGTTGTGGCTCTTCGCAATCACGGAGAAAGGCAAATCCGTTACCATATGCATTCAAATGGCCGATGTTTAATTAGGCGATCCAATATGGCGTTTTTTGGAGATTTAGCCTATAGATTTGTGGCTGTCTGCCTCTTTGGGTTTTAACACCGTTTGTTAGCTTCTCTCCTGTCTTGCTTATGATGGAAGCAATAGTTATCAGGTCGACTGCTTTTCAGTGCGCGGATGACAATGGACTAGGAGAAACCTGCTAATCGAAAAGCTTAAACCGAGTGTCACAAATCACCTGGGAACTTCATCGTCGCAGACACAGTGGTGCTACTCAGCAAGATGAATCAAAGGAACCCATGTTCAGAGATGCGGAGATCCTGGGATAGGAATTCGAAGGACCTAGGACTTGCCAATATGGCTACTTGCTCCAAAAGTGGTTCTGCTTACATGATGTTAATTTTAATGGAAAAGCTCTCATGGTGATAAAAAACGCAGTCACATCAGAGAGAGAATTTATATGTGCACCGGACATAAAAGTAGTGAGAAATGGAGGCGGTAAAGTGCAGCTGACTTGTGATCTGATACACGCATATATTGCAAATTAAGACGGTAATCACTCATCCTTCATATACTGAGAGAGCACTCGTGCAGAGTTACAATGAATAAGAAAGTACAAGTCGTACGGAAATACTGCCGAGTTGAGGCGGTCTACTAGACGCGTTGGTATTTGCGAACGGAAGTCACGTTGCGAACTGAGGCAGTCTGATGGGGAAAAGCGAAAAACAAAACATTGACACAATAAGTTAGCAGGTAAGTGAGTGAAAAAGTAGGTATGGTCAGTCAATCGTGGAAAAACCAGAGAAGAGACCGCATCGACGGTGGGGCTGGGGCAATGAGCAAGGTTAAGAGAGTCGTGGCTTGGTTGTTAACTCGTAAAACACTATCAGCGTACAAGCGCTTGACTGGGGAGCTTACGTTTAAGTAGCTGAACGGGTAGTTACAAATAACTAGTTCCAACGCAATGTAGCACACCCGAAAAGTTAATGCCAACGAAATGAAAGAAAGGGACCCCAAGTCGTTATAAAGCACTACTATAGAGGGATGGAAAATCGAGACCGATAGAGATAGGAATCGTTTAAACGCGTATCTTCCAATGACATATTTTAGATGAAAAAAAATGAAATGTGTCAGCTTATACGCCGTAACGGCGCTTCGCTGCCGCGCGACCACCACCAGTCGCGCGCGGGCTGAGTATACCGCGAGGACGCCCACCCCTACGCGGATTCGAACCGGTGACCTTATGGTTGGAAAGCAAACGTGCCGACCACTCGGCACGGTTCGCAAAAACAAAACCCTTATAGAATCCAACGGATCCCATCAGCAAGAGCGAAAAGACAGTACATGACAACAATCCTGTGCGATACGTTTATGTCTCTCGAACGAGTCTCATGAGAAACAATCATGGATAGCAGCTCATCCAACAAAGAAAGAAACCGCATCACCTAAAAGTGGTGCGCTTCCGAGAAAGACCACAAAGCAGTCAGAAGAATAACTGGAAGAGTAGCTAGTCAAAGAGGCCCATCAGTGAGTTTGACTCAAAAGTAGCGAAGGAGGGAAATATAACGACGGCTGCACTGGCAAAGAGATGGAGTGATCCACGAAAAACGAAGCGAACGGTTGACGATGTAGGGGCTTCAAAACTCGCTTGGAAGATATGAGTGACACGTTTCCACCGGGATCTCATAAATAACAAGGCCGAAACTAGATAACGATAGTATTTACAAATGAATAAATGAGCATTTACAGTGCATACCTCAACAATGCTGCCTCCAACTCAAAGCAGCTACAATAACAAACATTTAGGCCCGAGAGCCAAGAAGCTTGGCTTCAGAGCGACCGGGACACGGAGTGACGGCATTAAAGTGCACGGTGTGTTTATAAGAAATGTGAAAGGATGGCACTGCTTAATCACGCAAATAGAACGAGGGCTGAGTGAGTCCTAAAGTGGAATGAGATCAATCTGGTTGAAGCGTTCACCAAATGGGTAACGGCTGGACAGACACAGATGAAGGAGTAGAGTGGAACAAAATGTCAACAGACAATCATGACCAGTGGGGATCAAAGGGTTAACAGGTAATCACAATCGGTGCAAAACAAAGGAGTCGACGCAAGTATGAGTCGTGGAAATGTGAGGTGATAAACCTGTTAGTGGACGTATCACAGAACCAGTTTGGAGAGTGGGTATCATGAAGGAATGGGGAGAGATAAACACGTCTGTGTACGAAGGAACGGAAAGGCAGTGTGGAGAATGAATTCACAGAGATTGGATTAGGGCAATCTATGGCACACACAAGAATGTGATGAAGGGCGCAGAGGGGAGAGCGGCACAATGTATTTGATCCCGGTAAAAACGCCTAACTCGAACCTTCCAAACGAATTTTGTCGCTTACAGCAGACACAGAAGGAATGACGTTGTGGCGAGTTGTGTGTCTTACAGTCGCAATGAACAAAACAAAGCTTATGTCGCGTACATGTTCAGAGATTATCAATTCTCAGCCCGTGGTGAAGTGCATTTGCAACTTGAGAGACCGATGACCCAACTTCCAGAAATGAGTTCATAAATTACTAATTGTCCGACACGCAAAATTCAGGTACAACAGGTAGACGAGCACGGAACAGACACGTGCACCTGTTAGATGCGCTACTCAGTACACACCGAACAAATAGCTCCCGGGTGAAGTACGAACTTGCCACATAGCTTTCAGACATGGATCCAAACAACACAGAGGTATATTGTGAGATTCTGCTTAGTACAAAAAGCTGTTTCGTGGGCAAGTTTGCGTCCATGTCAGGGAAATCAGTCGGGCATCAGCTCATTCCTTGAGATTTGACAAACTGGATTCGCTTAAGATCGGAGATCCTAAATTTGCAAACATTTGCTCTGTTACTGATAAATGGTACCCAAAGATTGATAATGAGAAGATGAGTAGGCGAATGTTAAAGTGGTTAAGGATTAGCAATGAAGGAAAACCGGAGAAATTACGCATTGAATACTAACGGTTCTCAAGCTTGCATAGAATCCAACAAAACAAACGGAAAGTGACCAGCTAATTCATCATGCATTTGGGTCCAAAAATCACCAAGAGGAATTCACCAACCAAATGAGATGAAAAAGAAAGTGGACATCCGATGGAAACAGGGAACTCACTGTAGTCATCATGTCATTTTCAATCTGTCGAATTATCAATGTGTCACCATCGGGATGCTTTTGAACTTGCGTTAGCTGAACGTCTGAGTTCTTAGTGAAAGTGGACTGAAAGTGACAGTGAGAAAAGATGAGAGGGTGAAAGCGATCCGTAAACCTGGAGTGCGATAGATTCGGTGATAATCTCACAAGAAAACAAAACCGGAGGCGAGAACAGAAAGTCGAGAGATGCGACGGATTTCCCAACGTTACGAAAAATCAAGCAAGTCCTCGTGTTGTTGAGCATAAGCTAGTTATTTATTTATTTACAAGAAATTCACTGAGTGCAGAAGATAGCTCCAGGTACTTTTGGTAAAAGTCGATGTTCGTTACTCCATTTTGTACATACTAAGCTCCACGAAGTTCATTCAAACACGCGCGAAGTCAGCAAATTTTACGTGGTGCCTGAAGATTACATCAATTTGTCGATGGGTTCCACATGTTCCCATGATTTTATTTGAAGAAGGGGGAAGTTCATTGATAACCATTGGCGCCGGCGCGACATAACTCTCGCCCTAAAAGACAGAATTCACAACGCAGCCGTCCGTTTAACCTTCTTGTATAGGTGCGAAAGCTTATCCACCAGATCGACAGACAGATACTAGTTACGTCCGTTCATTACTATCTTCACAGCCCAGCTCACGTCTGATGGGAACACCGCGTGAGCAATGAGCGTGCTCGGCGCCGCGTATTTGGTGCAGTAAGAGCTAGTGAATCGCTCAGCACCGTTGTTTCACGCACCAGGTTCCGATGGCTGGGCCACGAGTTGCACATGCTAGCACATCGATTCTCGCATCGTGCGTTATTTGGGCGACCGGGGTGTGGATGGAAGAAGGGGATGTCAAGCGATGACTTGGTCAAGAGGTATAAAGGCCGTTGGCGTCGGTTGTTGTCTCCCGACTGCCGGGCTGAGGCCCGAAGGAAGATGGACACGTTTGGTTGGATACACTGTTCGGCTGCAATGGAGTTTGTGTTGTGAGTTTCTTTGTCTCTTCCCCTCCCGCTTTCTTTTCCTATGTATCGTGTCATTTTACATTGCGGAACATTAGCTGAAGTGTGTTTGTTACTTTCAGCTAACGTGTATTGATGCTGATGATGATTACTGGCCATGCGGCACCTCTTCTCTGTAACAAGAAGCCGTGGCTAGGCTAACAAGCACTGAATCACCATTATCTAACAGTAACGAAAGGGTAAGGCAGGCAAAGCAGGCTGCGTTATCCACTGCAGTGGCGTTTGTTCACATGGTAGCATGCATATGGCGTGAGAGTGGAGACAACGCGTCGTAGCTGCTTTCAGATGACCCAATGAACAATAGAAGCGAGGGTCCTGTGCATCACTCTTCAGAGTGCCCAAAGCATCAGTAATACGAAGGCACGCAGTACTGATGCTTCGCTGCCGCGTAAAAACCAGTCGTACGTGGGTTAAGGATACTGCGAGGGTCGCCTGGTCCCTACGCAGGCTCGAACATGAGAATTCGGAATACAAGACAGGCTTGTGATGCTTAAGGGCCGGCCCGGGCGACCTTTGCATTATCCTTAGCCCACGTAAGACCGATGGTGCAGAGGGCCCAGATAAGTATATGAACAGAAATCAATCAGATCAATTGTCCAGATGTACTAACACGCGTTGAAATCGTAACGAGTTAAGGTCGAATTAAAACGATACACAACGGTACAAAAAAGCACAGAACAGATTCGATCCATTATCAGTCCCCACGAGAACAGTGGCTCCGATCAATGATCTGAGCAGCTCAGTGACAGACTATGAGGCATGTACGGAATGAGGTGAATGTGATTGCTATGAACCACAAGATCAAAACCACATCAATGAGAAAGATAAAAAGGGCGTAAAAGTTAAAGTGATACGTATCAACTAAAATGGAAACATCCAGCAACTGGATCGTCAAGAGAGGCAGTCAAAAATCAGAAATAAACGCAAGGGCCCCACTAAATTCTCGATTGCGCCTATCCGACACCACTTAGCCAAACCGCAAATGTGCCGATCGTCGGCCAGTGACGGATTGGATCAACGTTGGAATTTATAAGTCACTGATCCAAGCATGAGCATTTGTGTGGGACCTCGCAGCGATCACAGCACGCGTGGCAGCAGAGAGCTGTTGAGATGTACAGTCGTACCGCTGCTTTTCAATGTGGCTTATACCGAAGACCCTATTCAGGAAGATAACAAGTACCAAAAATTAAGTGACGTAACCACTATTCGAAAAAATCGGTTTTGACATGGTGTGACAGCTTGCGTACCACTCAACTTATTGAACCATAACAGATCGACCCCTATGGCTTCCTGAAAGCACTTCTATCAGATCAATTGCGATGAGACTGAACCTTAAGGTGGCGCTATGAATTGTGTACCTCAGTGATCCAACGAATTATGTTGGGTGGTGCTTTCTTAACCTACACAGCCGTTTATACCAGAATGGTCAAAAGCTAGGGGCCAAACGATCTGTCCATTGGTTCTCCAGTTTGAAGGATGAAGTGATGGTGGTTCATTACTTCATAACACGGACTGTGTAGTCCACTGCATTTGGTTGAGAAGACTAATCGTTCTCCTGTCAGGGCATGGGTAAACTGACAGTATTCTGCCCACGCAACACAATGATCTACGATTCAGACAATTTCTTGACGCTCTAGTGGTCGCAGAAGATAATCGACGGCGCCCTATCTGCTGCATCGAGCAGAGTGGTAAGGGATGAAGATGAGAATACCCAAACTGTTTCGACTTCTTACATCCTCTCTCGGTTTTTCGTCCTTACTGTCTCTTTCCAACTTCCGGTATAACCCCTGCTTTCAACCCCAATTCTCCGGTCTCTTCCATCTTGCCTCTATAGTCGTTTATCTTCTAAAATTTCATACAACTGATTAAGAATAAGGGAAATAAACCAAATTCAGTCCATCTCGCGAAATATTAGTTGTTCTTGCCTTGCTGAAGTTTATCTTCTAGTTTGAGCTCTTACGCAATCACAGGGCGTCACTCCGGTCCACTAGACAAGTTCGTATCCGAGTAAGCGAACGTCAGTTCATCTGCTTCCATTTGGAGCCCACGATCCTCTTTAAGTTTGGCATGCTTCAATGTGCTCACTTTGTTACAGATTAGCCAACAGGTAGTACTTGTCCAAACACCAGATATCATATCGATCGATAGCTTCTGTTGATCGGAAATCTGACTACAAAATTTTAGCTTTGTGCTTACCATGCGAACCCCACATGCGACACTGACGGCACTTACTCACTGTGTTTGTCCGAAGATGACGCAATTTCAAAGGCTGATCAAGTCGGTATGGGCATTGCTCTGAGTCCATGATCGATAAAATCCCCATCAACAGCCCGATTTGCATCGTCAGATTGGATACCTCGTGCAAAGCTTCGAAGTCCAGCGGGGACAAACGGTGCCTATTTGTCACCGTCGTCTGCAACCCCATAAACTGCAGCGCTGATGCGGTGGAGGATAACTTCAAGCACCGAATGAACGAACCCTTGTTGCACAGAAGTATGATACTGTAGTGCTAACTAGTAATCTACTGATGAGGAGCATCTGGGCGGCCAACAGGATGTAGGCTCCCGTAATAATAACGGTGAGTGGTTGCAGCACCTGTGTGAAGATGTTCGTCTATTTCTCGCGAACACCAACTTCCGACACAGGACTCGCAGTAGGGTGAGACAGCGCTTAGCGGCCTCAAACCCAGCCATAGACGCAAATAGATCACATGACCATCCATTGCCGTTGGAGAGCCTATGTTCAAAACGACCGCGATTTGGAGCAGAAGTGTGGACCAATCACGATCATGTATGTGCCAATATCTCGGTGTGTTTTTGTGGGCGCCTGAGACGACCGGCT